AGGACTGTGTGAGTTGTAAACAATAGCTTAGCTCCATTAGTTATCAACAGGCTAAGGAAGGAGAGCGAAAGTTGTAAAACTATAAGAAGAAATGCTCCAATTTATTTAATTATTCAAAGCAACAAGCTAGCGGGATGACGATGGTGGGTGTGGTAAAGAGGGGAGAGATAAAGGGAAGGGGAGGATATCGTCGTTCAAGTTGGAGCATCGAAAAAAAAATTGAAAATAAAATTTTGGAAGAAGATTCAGGTAACGTGATCATTAACTCTAAGCGGCGCTTGGTAATGGAGATATTCTTCTTTATCAAGAGAAATTTTTTTCCAGAAATATAGTGGGAACTTTTTTTTTAGGTAAGTAACGAAAATGTGTTTGGTAGGTTCAAAAAAATTTCGGGAATGTTTGGTTAATTATACTGAAGCTATGGGAAAATAAAAATACCATGTATCAAATGAAATTTTCGTTTGGGAATATGTAGTTCAAACTAAAATGATGGGAACAAAAGTTCCCCGGGAATATTTTCAATTTCCTCCTACTAGACGTTGGATAAAAATTTGCTCACCCAACTTTTCCAAGATTTCTAAAACAATCTCTATACCCAACAACCCCTAAATGAATCGTGATTGTAAGATCAAAATAAATTAAGGGGCTTAGATTGAGTATAACACTTTCATTATAAGTAAGATGATCCTGCCAGTATATATATATATATATATATATTGACAAACAAAAAGTTTATAAACTTTTACTAAGTACACTAAATATTATGAGTAGTACATGTCAACACACAATGTACTATCCGTAGTATATAGTATAGTTTATTTAAGTAAGATGATCTATAGCTTCCTTGTGCTCCTTTTTGCATATTTTATATCTGTGAGTGTGAACGATGATATTTAAGTTGAAATTTCGTCTCCCATAAATATAATTTCAATTTGCAACAATGGTAACATAATCATAAAAATCTTTACTAGGAATGTTTCTAATCATGACAATGGTTTTTTCTTTATTAATTTGAGTTTAAACTTTCTTACAGTATCATTATTGTAAATCGTATGTTTTTGTGAGAGACAACATATATTAGGAGTCCTTGCGTAAATCTCGAAAAGTTGGGTTAAATAAATTTTTTTTTACCTAATTCGAATACCCGAGTCAAAAGTTATGGATTTCCAAAGTTTTACAATCAAACTGTTGATTTTTGTGCCACATATCAACAGTTGTTAAGCCAGCCCTCCTGGGGGGAGTGTCTCTCTCCAACCGGTCACGTCTCCTGTTAGTCGTGTTTGAATGCTATATATTTATATGTACATTCAAAATGACCACATTTCCTTAATTTTTTTATTAAAAGAACAATATTTAAATTTTTTTTCCTATGGCGTTTTCACATGCACACGTAGCATGAAATTTCTAGATCACACTAGCGGTGTACCAAAGTTGCTAAGCCTTCCACATTAGGGGAAATTCTTGACAAAATATCCAAAAGTTTATTTCATTGCATTTAGTCATGCAACTTTACTTTATACTCTTTAATTCCTGTATTTTCCTTTACTTTTATGATGTGTTTGTACAGTAATGGGACATCCCAGTCTAACCCAATGCCTCTAATAGGCATCTTACGATAACAAGTTGAATTTATAGGATATGATATGTATATCACTTGATTGGTGGCCAACAAAGGTAACAAGGTAGGACTGTGCGAGTTGTAAACAATAGCTTAGCTTCTTTAGTTATCAACAGGCTAAGGAAGGAGAGAGAAAGTTGTAAACTAGAAGAGGAAGTGCTCCAATTTATTGAATTATTCAAAGCAACAAGCTAGCGAGATGACGATGGTGAGTGTGGAAAAGTGGGGAGAGATAAAGGGAAAGGGAGGATATCGTTGTTCAAGTTGGAGCATCGAAGAAAAAATTGAAAATAAAACTTTGGAAGAAGATTCAGGTAACGTGATCATTAACTCTAAGCGGCGTTTGGTAGTGGAGATATTCTTTTTTATCATGAGAAATTTTTTTCCAGAAATATAGTGGGAACTTTTTTTTGGGTAAGTAACGAAAAGGTGTTTGGTAGGTTCAAAATTTTTTCGGGAATGTTTGGTTAATTATACTGAAGCTATGGGAAAATAAAAATACCATGTATCAAATGATATTTTCGTTTTGGAATATGTAGTTTAAACTGAAATGATGGGAACAAAAGTTCCCCGGGAATATTTTCAATTTCCTCCTACCAGACGTTGGATAAAAATTTGCTCACCCAACTTTTCCAGGATTTCTAAAACAATCTCTATACCAAACAACTCCTAAATGAATCATGGTTGTTAGATCAAAATAAATTAAGGGGCTCAGATTGAGTGTAAGACTTTTATTATAAGTAAGATGATCTTGCCAGTATGTATATATTTATATATTTATATATATATTGAAAGTTATATTGTTTATAAACTCTTACAAACTACATTAAATATTATGGGTAATACATGTAAACACACAATGTACTACCCATAGTATATTGTATAGTTTATTTAAGTAAGATGATCCATAGCTTCCTTGTGCTCCATTTTGCATATTTTATATGTGTGAGTGTGAACGATGATATTTAAGTTGAAGTTTCGTCTCCCATAAATATAATTTCAATTTGCAACAATGGTACAATAATAATAAGAATCTTTACTAGGAATGTTTCTAATCATGACAATGATTTTTTTTTTATTAATTTGAGCTCAAACGTTCTTATAGTATCATTATTGTAAATTCGAACATTTGTGTGAAAGACAAAATATGCCAAATGAGGAGTCATTGCATAAATCTCGAAAAGTTGGGTGGAATAAAAAAAATTACCTAAATCGAACACCCGAGTCAAAAGTTATGGACTTCCAAAGTTTTACAATCAAATTGTTGACTTTTGTGCCACATATTAACACTTGGTAAGCCACCCCTCCTGGGGGAGTGTCTCTCTTCAACCAGTTACGTCTATTGTGAGGCGTGTTTGAATGCTATATATTTATATATACATTCAAAATGACCGCAGTTCCTTAATATTTTATTAAAAAACTATATTTTAATTTTTTTTTCCTATTGGATCATCACATGCACACGTAGCATGAAATTTCTAGATCACACTAGCGGTCTACCAAAGTTGCCGAACCTTCATTTTAGGGGAAATTCTTGACAAAATATCCAAAAGTTTATTTCATTGCATTTAGTCACGCAACTTTACTTTATACTCTTTAATTCCTATATTTTCTTTTACTTTTATGATGTGTTTATACAGTAATGGGACATCCCAGTCTAACCTAAAGCCTCTGATAGGCATTTTACGATAACAGATTGATTTTATAGGATATGAGATGTATATCACTTGATTGGTAGCCAACAAAGGTAACAAGGTAGGACTGTTCAAGTTGTAAACAATATCCTAGCTCCATTAGTTATCAACAAGCTAAGGAAGGAGAGCGAAAGTTGTAAAACTAGAAGAGGAAGTGCTCCAATTTATTGAATTATTCAAAACAACAACCAACAAGCTAGCGGGATGATGATGTTGGGTGTGGAAAAGTGGGGAGAGATAAAGGGAAGGGGAGGGTATCTTTGTTCAAGTTGGATCTTCGAAGAAAGAATTGAAAATAAAATTTTGGAAAAATATTCAGGTCACGTGATCATTAACTCTAAGCGGCGTTTGGTAGAGGAGATATTCTTTTTTTTCAAAAGAAAAAAATTTCCGGAAATATAGTGCGAACTTTTTTTTTGGTAAATTTCGAAAAGGTGTGTGGTAGGTCCAAAATTTTTCGAGAATGTTGGGTTAATTATTTTGATGCTATGAAAAAATAAAAATACTATGTATCAAATGATATTTTACCGAAATGATGGGAACAAAAGTTTCTCGAAAATATTTTCAATTTCCTTTTACCCATGGTAGCTAAAATCTTGATTTAAAACGTAAAATCGGGATTTTAACTATTTTTTGATGGAGAAAGTTATACTGACAACCTATTTTCTTTACAACCTCTTACAATCATATATCTTAACCATTGATTTCCGTCAATCAACGGTTAAGATTTTCGCAAATTAAATTTATTAATTAATTATTAAGTCACAATAAATGAGAACCGTTGATTGGCGAAAATCAACGGTTAAGATATATGGTTGTAAGAAGTTGTAAAGAAAATAAGTTGTAAGTATAATCTTCCTCTTTTTTTTTTTTGTCAAATCGATTCGTAGTACACGTAAAATCATTTTCCAACTAAAATCGATAGGGAACGAATCCACTTACCACCAAAAAAGTTTACAACTCTTACTACCAATTTAATCACCATTGATTTCCGTCAATCTAACGGTTATAATTTAATAATATTTTATAACCGTTAGATTGACGAAAATCAACGGTGATTAAATTGGTGGTAAGAGTTGTAAACTTCTTTGGTGGCAAGTGGAACCTCTCCCAAATCGATAAAATCGTATTTTTAAAAAGTAAAATCATAAAATCTCTACGTTTTTAACACACTGACCGAAAAGCCCTAAATTGTTTGTCTCTGAAATCTCAACCTCTCCTTTGTTTCCTCCCTAAAGTCAGCTAATTTGCTCGACAGCAAACAGAGCCTTCTTCAAAACTCAGTTTCGCTCCATCTCTTTTTGAAACCACAGCTTCATCTTCAACGATTTCAAGCTGTCATTGGTTCGTCGGTGATTCTAGCTGCCATTTTCACCGCAATTAAGCTGGTTTTCTCGAGCTGCCATTTTCGTCGCCACTAAGCTGATTTTCTCTCACTGGAACTATTCGTCGAAGCTGGTTTCTTCGAAGCCCCAGCCTGATTTGGCGCTATTCACCCAGATTTGCATTTTTGTTCGCCGGTTAGTCACACTCATCGTTTTTCTAATAATTTTTGGTTGAAATCTGTTTTCGTAGAGTGTGGAAATATGCGACCCTATCAGTAGTTTAAATTATATTATTGTATTCAATCCACCGACTCTGTTTTGTTAACGCTATTTAGCAGGAGGGACGTAGCTTTCTAACAGTCAAAATGGGTTCCACAAGGTATTGTAACCATGGAAAGCTATTTCTTCATATTTGATTTGGTGCAGCTGACATTGATTTTAATCTTTTTCTTCTTAATTTTCCTTTACATTTCCACTTTTATGCACCATGCCTATAATTTTTATTTGTTATGCAAAATAACAAGTAAAATATAATATCTTGGTGTTTTGTTGGATTGAACCTTTTAGTGTTCAATATGTTACATATTAATATTAGTTGGTGGATATAAATTTTGATTGCTCAAAATTTTATGAATGAGTTTCTAACGTTCTGCTTTCCTTTGAGACAAATGCAGTGATCAAGCTTTTTTTTTAAATTATTTTCAATGTTTCTTAATATCCATATATATATATATATATATATATATATATATATATATATATATATATGGGGCAGGATATTCTTACACTGGTGTAAGAGTTAGAAGTCTTACACTCAATCTTGACCATTGATCCACTTGTATCCAATGGCTCACATTACTAAAAAATTTGAGCTCTTAGATATAAATGGAATCAGTGGACAAGATTAAGAGTGTAACTTACACGGGTGTAAAATGATCTTAACCCTATATATATATATATAATTTTTAAGTGTAGGTAAAATCTACGCTTTGTTTTATGATTTTACCTTTTACGATTTTTCGTTCCCTTTCCGATTTTAAGTGAAATTCCGATTTTAACTACCTTGCTTCTACCAAACGTTGGAAAAAAATTTGCTCGACCCCACTTTTCTAGGATTTCTAAAACAATCTCTATACCAAACATCCCCTAAAAGCATCGTGGCTGTTAGATCAAAAAAAATTAAGGGGCTCAGATTGAGTATAAGACTTTTATTATAAGTAAGATTATCTTGCCAATATATATATATATATATATATATATATATATATATATATATATATGGAAAGTTATATTGACAAACAAAAAGTTTATAAACTCTTACAAACTATACTAAATATTATGGGTAGTACATGTCAACACACAATGTACAATCCATAGAATATAGTATAGTTTATTTAAGTAAGATGATCCATAGCTTCCTTGTGCTCCCTTTTGCATATTTTATATCTGTGAGTGTGAACGATGATATTTAAGTTGAAGTTTTGTTTCTCATAAATATAATTTTAATTTGCAACAATGGTACCATAATCATAAAAATCTTTACTAGGAATGTTTCTAATCATGACAATGGTTTTTTCCTTATTAATTTGAGTTTAAACGTTCTTATAATATCATTATTGTACATTTGAACGTTTTTGTGAAAGACAACCTATTGCAAATGAGGAATCATTGCATAAATCTCAAAAATTTGGGTGGAATAAATGTTTTTACCTAGTTCGAACACCCGAGTCAAAAGTTATGGACTTCCAAAGTTTTACAATCAAATTGTTAAATTTTGTGCCACATATCAACACTTGGTAAGCCACCCCTCCTGGGGGGAGAGTGTCTCTCTCCAACCGGTCACGTCTCTTGTGAGGCATGTTTGAATGTTATATATTTATATATACATTCAAAACGACCACATTTCCTTAATTCTTTATTAAAAAAAACTATTTAAATTTTTTTCCTTCATAGTTGTCTCGGGTCCATCCTTCGCGGTTTCTTCTTTGTATGTGACATATGCCTCCTCCACCTTGTTGATCATCTCAATATCATGAGCATCACATCAACACTACTTTGAATACTCGCATTGCAACAAACTCTTCAAGCTCAATCCAACTCCATATTCCTTGCACCACAAAGTCCTATCAACGCCAATTGTATTGCCTTCAACGAACCTTCCAACAAAAATCTTTGCTGATCTCTCAAACTCAGTTAGTGCCAAAAAAATGTGGGGAAGCATAAAATTTGGATAGAGGGGACAATCTGGGGTTGAGGATTTTGACAAGTAGTGGGGTTGGTTGTTCAGTTGAAGTACTATATTATGGAGGAATTTTTGTTTTGGGGGTTGAGAAAATGGAAAGAGGAGAAAATTCTGCTGTGAAAAAGAATGCAAGGTCATGTGTTGAGCACTAGAGCTTTGCTTAATTTATGTTTTCAATTTCAACCATAATGCTGCAGGTTTGGTCATAGAGAAATACTTCAAGGTTACAAGTTGTAAAGTGGCTAATACTACAAGGGCGTTTGCTAGAGGAGAAATTTTTTTAAATCCGAAAAATAATCATTACCAGAATGCGGTGAGAAATATATGTTTTCTGGAATGTTAGTAAAAAGTGTTTGGTATCGTAAAATTTTCTCGGGAATTTATGGTTAATTTTACTGAATGTGTGTTTGGTTGGTTGTGAAATATTAGTGGAAAAGTGAGGTTGTTTTACGAAAATAACCCTAGCTTTACGTTTTGTTTGAAATATTATATTGTGCTGAAGGTTAATTTCGTCAATTAATTATTTCCCCGGACCGAAATAGTTCCATCTAATCTATGGGACTTCACTTTTGCATTCCGTACTGTAAATTGCACACAACGTGGTTTGTTGGGAAAAGTTTGTACTCTGAATTTGTTTTCTTTTTCGCGTATCAAATGCGGGTTTCTTTTTTGTCGTACCATGCTTTCTCGAGGAGTGCAAAAAAACCGGGTACCAAAGGGCAAAGGCCCCCAAGTGTTAATTTGTATTTGAGTAAATACTCTTTTTGGTCCCTAATAAAAAACACGGTTCTCATTTTAGTTCCTTACAAAAATAAATTAATCAGTTAGTCCCTAACAAATTCAAAGTTAACTCATTTAGTTGAAATCGTGGTCCCTCACATTCAAAAAAGACCTATATTAGTCCCTCAAAAGGACTAAAATGGGTCTACTTTAAATTTGTTAGGGACTAACTGACTAATTTATTTTTGTAAGGGACTAAAATGGGGACCGTGTTTTTTGTTAGGGACCCAAAAGGGTATTTACTCTATTTTCTCCTAGAAATTAATAGTGGTTCCCTTTTCTTTTTTTTCTTTTTTTTTTAAATTTAGTGGCTTTTCTCATTGCGACTTTATTGGGGAGAGTTACAATCTTCTTTGTGAAATTTTTGTAAAGAAAAAAAAACTAATATTTTATTCCTAATTAGATTTTTTTTTTTAAATGCCGGGGGTGCATAGGCTAAATATTGCATATTCCAAAGATTTACCTAATTTAGAAAATTTGTATAAACAAAATTCCTTTTAAAATGATCCTCAAATCTTTTAATTTTATATTTTTAGAATAGAATTTTAAAAAATAAAAAAAGTAAACATATTAAAGGAGAAAAAATATTAGTATGGTAATTAATTGATAATTTTTAAAAAAACCAAATTGAATCTGTAAATCGAATTCCATTAAACCAAATGAACCTCTAAATTCATGAACAGCCACAGTACATTGAGATTGAGTCCAACGCATTCCACTTTGTCCAGCTGTTTTATTGAATCTGGCTTAGTGGCTCTCTGCCGCTGCACACAAGTGGAGAAGCCTGTCAACCCTTGCAAACTGCAAAGGTGAGTTTCTAGTTCCTTCCTCCATCACTTCTAGCTCCTCTGTATGTTTGTTCACATGTTCTAATTCCTTCTTTAACACTGTTGAATGATGCATGTAGATAAGACTCCTATCCATAACTGACTTTAGAGTTTGATAAACTTTAGATATTGGTATTCTACATAACTGCAAATTTAACATAGTGTTGGGGATTCAAAAAAGTGGTTCTGCTTAGATCATTTATCTCTTGCAGGCAGTTTAAGGTACAAGAGAATCTGCCATGGAATTAACTTGTGCTGCTAGTGCCATGGAATGGAGCATCCAACTTGAGAAGGGCCTTCGTTCTAGTAAACCAGGTCACAGTGATTTCTTTCTTCTTTTTATTTTTTTTTATTTTTATTGTTTGTTCATTTTTAAAATATCTTCTTTGGATTTGCTTCTTCACTGAATCTTATGAATCGTTCATCAGATGTACCTGTCAAAGCCATATTGCAGATGGTGCCCCACCTTCAGCAATGGAGTAGAGAGCTCGAATCTGGCATTGCTTCGAATGCCATGTTTGGTCTTGTGCCAGGAGAAGATAGGCTATTTGCCAATGCCATCCTGTTACGCCTTGCTGATGCCTTTAGGGGAGGTGACAAAGAAATCAGGGTTTCTGTTGTTAAGGTTTTCTTGATTGAACGAAAGCATCCTGATAATGGGAAGCATAAGCAGTGTAAAGGGTTACTGTCAAAGGCCAGAGTAGCTAACCACTTGGAGTTGTTGAAGCGAGTGAAATCTGTTTATGACAGTGGGGATTTGGAGTCCAAGGCACTGGCTTTGGTTCTGTTTGGTTGTTGGACTGATTTTGCCAATGACAATGCTCAGATACGATACTTGATACTTTCGAGCCTTGTTTCTCCTCACGATTGTGAGGTAAAATAAGTTTCTTTTGGTGTTGCTGTCGTTCTGGATGTCTAATTTCATTCTTAATAACACCTCCCATTTGAGTATTATTTCGTTTGTAAATATCAATGATACTTAAGTACCTAGTCATGCTTTCTTCTTGTGTTTCAAAAATTGTGCCATTGTATGGCAAGTGAGAAACTGCAATCTTAATTTGATTTGCAAAACTATATACGAATGGATTGACAATTATTGGTTATTGTGTTTGCCCTTTTCATTTTATAAATGTGCAGGTTGATTGCCTTGGGGCATTCTCCTAATTTTCTTTGCTTTCGAGCTTTGCCTTGTTTAGCCAATCTTCCTTGTAGACTATTTTTTTTTTAACTGGTTTATTGATTATCTACATTAATAGATCTGATATGTTGGATTGGGTTTTTACAGGTAAGAGCATCATTGTTTGCTGCTGGATGTTTTTGTGAGATATCAGATGATTTTGCATGTATTACATTGGAGATGCTGTTAAATATGATGAATTCACCTGCAGTTTCGTTGCCTGTAAAGTTGGATGCAGCACGAGTTTTTACAAAATTGAAGTGCTCATATTCAGTTGCAACTAAAGCATATAAGGTCGATGATTATTTTTTGTTCTGGGACGCTTCTTTGTCTTTGACACATGCATTTACTTTGTGGCTTCCTAGCTGTTGTTCTAGCTGTGGAGCATCTTGTGTAGCCATGTTTGCGTTTGTTTCTGTGTTTGCCTGTCTTCACTTTTTTTCCTAGGGTGTTATTAACATGATACAAAATGGAGAAAAGGAGTGGCTTGAGAAGAATTGAGAAGAAAAGACCTAGAATTCTTTTTACCTGTGGAAGTGAAGTTTTGGAAATTGGTTTTCCACTTTATTATAAATACTTCTAGACACTGCACCTCGATCATATATCAAAGTGAAAAGAAGTTACCTCTTCCACTAGTTTAGTAATGCGTCATCTAGTTCAGTTTAATCAGGCCTGCTAGTTGGTGGTTCATGGAACAATATATTTTCTGTGTTGCTACCTTTACTACTATTAACAATATGGTTGGAAACTAATCAGGCTTGCTAGATGTTTGAAAATAATATCTCAACTTTATGAGAAAATAGAAGTCAAAACTAATATTGTCTTCCTGTGCTGATAAATATAATTACTTTTGCACCAAATGGATTCCTCAATAATATTGAAGCAAGGCTAGTATTCAAATTTACTAAGGATGTAAAATAGTTTAGCAACAATTGTAATGTACAATTAATTTCCGCAAACTTGTGACATTATTTTTTGTGTGTTTCTTTCTTGGAATTGAACATATTTGGGTTTCTTATGTGATGATTGATTTACTGCAGACCGGTCTAGAGTTGATATTAAGTTCTTCAAATGAAGATTTGTTGGTAGCTCTGCTATTTTCAGTTTCAAAACTGGCTTCAGTTTCTACACTTCTCACCTCCAATCTGGTATGTTCCTTCTTTATTCTACTATATGATTTAGACATTCTAGTTGGGTAGGTAGAATGAAAGTGTCCCCTTACTACTTCATCCCAACTTTTCATTTCTCTGTTTGAAAGATTGTGTGGACATTTTCTCAAGGTTCCTATCTTAACCTTCAACCCCCCCCCCCCCCCCCCCCCCCCCCCCCCCCCCCCCAAAGTTATAAACAATTGAGAGTTTGTGAAAAATCGGTGCTAGAGTTTTACTTTAGAAAGGGTGATAAGCAAGTTAAAACCAGTGTGATTAAAAGAAGCACCATACAGCTAGCTTGCGCATGCATATATGTTTTGCACAATTCAGTATAATATTTATTTCAGTGCTTTCTTTGTTAATTTTTTTTTAATTGTTTGGATTCAGGTGGACTATCTTCTTTCATTTCTCAAACGAGAAATAACTTCACATGTACAAGAAACAGCAGTAAGTTGCTTGAATTTTTTAATCAGAAAAGGAGTATGTCAGTATACTCCAGCTCTAAAGCTTTGTTGTAGCACTTCCTTCCAGGTCCTGGAAGGACAGACCCTGGAGCAGTCACCATCCGAATATCAAGCTGGGAAATATGATTGGACAGATGATGAAATTGTTGTTCTGAACAAGTTGTTTTCGGATTCCGGAGTACATTTTTAAAGTAATGTGGCTTACTTGGCATTAATATAAACTTTTTAATTAAATACAAAATTCTGAGGTATTAATGTGCATTTTTTTTATTGAAAATTTAAATTCTGAAGCATATGAGAGTACATGTTATGTTTTGTTATAATGATCCCAGCTTATACCATTATTTTCTCCTTCTCTTGTCATTAGATTCTGTTTTGCATAAATGAAATTTTATAAGCGAAGACATTAGACCTTTTTATGTCTTATTGATCAAGGTGGAGTTAATTAGATAGCTATAAAATATTGCTGAGATATGAGTTGATGAGTTTGCTTTGGCATACATTTATTTTTCGCATGGCCTGCCTAAATGTTTTTCACATGGCATTGGGCCAGAAGCTTGACCTCTTAAAAAACCCAGATTTTTTTATTTGAATGTTATTTCAGGCATCAAAGATTATCCTCACTAAGACTGGTTTTGTAAAGAAAAATAAGTGTGTAGAAAACGAGATAGGATCAGTTATTATCCGATAAGTGCCATAAGTGCCACAACAGGTCACAGGTGATTGTGGCACCAAAGACTTGGGCAAAATATAAGTATTTATATCTACATAAAAATTAGTTTTATCCATTCTGCCATTCTGGGAGGTTATGGCTCCCATTTATGCGTGTTCTCCTGCAAACGGATTTTTTTAATGTGCTTCAAGAGCACAATACTTTTTTGTGGTCCTTTATCGAAAGAAGAAATATTTTTTTCTATTTATATTCTCTTTTTCTTCTAAATTTTCTCATAATCTTTTTTGCCCCTTGTATTTGGAAAGGGAGCACAAGCTCTCGGGGCATAAAAAACGAGCTCCCTGCAAACATGGATTTGTGAAGCTGCTTATATTAAATTGGATTTCACACTTTATAAGGTAAAATACAAATATTATTCTATCTGTAGATTCTATATATATTAGTTAAAGGGAAAATATTTTCTCCTTTTAAAGGAGAAATTTTTTCTCATATTAGTGACTTGATAATATAAGTGGAGCCCACAAAATAGTGGAGAGAAAAAAAGTTTCAAAGTGAGACCCACTTATGTTATGAGTCATTAACATGAGAAAAATTTTCTCCTTTAAAAAGGAGAAAATATTTTCCCTTAGTTAAATTGACTTGGGGAGTGACAATGGAACCTGGGTTAAGAGATATACCCTGCATATCGGGCATTGTACTTTTTGAAGGGTCTGGAGATAGCTTGGGAAATGGGATTCACGTCCGTGATCATTCAGAGCCATTAAGCCGCATAAATATTATTATTATTATTATTATTTTGTAGTTAGTTGATAAAGCCAATATATATATATATATAGATATGTAAGAAAAAATATTTATTAATTTAAATGATATGATTTTGTGTCATTTTAAGTAAAATGACTGTATTTTGATAAGTTTTTACCTTCTCTATCCTTTATAATTTTGTCTTCTCTCTCCTGATTTTGTGGAGAAGAAAGAAAAAATACATCAAAATACAATTGTTTTATTTAAAATCACACACACACAAAGCACATAAACGAACATGGCTTAAAGTTCCTATTAAATATTATCAAGTGTATTATATAAGTAAAATTGATTAAATTAAAAAATTGTTAATAGAATTGATAACTTCAAGAAAATTTAAAATTATTTTAAATTTTTATGTAATAAAAATGTAATTTAACATGTTAAAATAATTTGTATACATTATTTACACAAAGATGTGAGAATTTAACTATTCGTATAACTTTATATTTAAGTTTATCATAATATTGCCATAAATAAATAAAATAAATTCGATTCATATAAACATTAAATTTGTACACATGAGTTTTGACTTTTGTGTTATAACTATCAGAAGTATATTTGGATTACTTTATTTTATACTTAAAAACATATTAAAAAAATTTATTTTTATTTTATTATGAAGACATACGCATGTTATTAATGTAAGGAGATAGGGAATAATGATATATGTTCAAGAAGGAAAACAAAAAACTGACATGGTAAGGAATACAACATAAATTAATTTTTGTTATTAAGACGAACTGTAGAGTAAACTAGCAAAGCTTTCGATCTGATCGTGAACCATACCAATTTAATTGTTTAAACGGCTTGACGGGACATGGAAAGGTAAATTGGGCTTGAAGGGACCGAGCTTTCCAAAACTTTAAAACTTTTTCTTGCATATATACTTTTTAAAAGCAAAACTTTACATAATTATTAACATTTTAAATACAAAAGAGTAAATACACTTTTTGGTTCCTGACAAATTTCACAAAGTCCTTTTTGGTCCCTAACAATAAAAAAGAAACATCGTGATCCCTGAAATTCTAAAAAACAAGCCATGTTAATCCTTTTGTTAGTTGGCATCCAACGGCCAATGTAACGGTGCACACTTGGCACGTTAGTTTGCTGACTCAGAATGAAGTAGTCCACCGTGAAAATAAGACGATGACGTTTTGAACATGACTTAAGTCTCCTTGGAGTTTTGGACACCTGACCTAGAATCCAAGGGTAACCTGACCCAACAAATGGGGTAAATTGAGAACCCTAAATCAGCCTAAATCAACCCTAAACTAAAATATTCCCCAAAAGCTCCGCACGTTGATAACTAAAAATTGACGACAGTAGAAGTTATTTACTGGCTTTGCTGAGGCGTAGGAGAATATGAGTCTTTCTTCTGGCATAGGGGGCTCAAGTGGAAGTACTTCAATAGGGGGTAGAACACTAACAAGAACTGTCGGTCGAAGGTGCAAACGTGGGAGGCAAACTATCGTCTATACCTCCAAAACTGAGAGAAACTCAAACATGGCATTCTTTGGGTGCCCTAATTTCAAGGTATACATGTGTAATATGTGTTTATTTAAGTTGAAACATCTGATCACCGTGATTTGTTATTTTGGCAGGAGAAGAAGCCATTTTGTGATTTTTTTAGATGGTTAGATGATGTATCTAATGAAAGGATGAAGCTGGAAGATGGAAGAATACACAAGGTGGAGTTAGATGTTGCTGAAATGGATTTCAAGTTGAAGTATGTGGACATGATGATGAGTGAGCAATTGCAAGTTAAGCTGAATGACCAAGGTGTGAAGATTATTGAGAAAGAACTGAAGATTAATGACCAGGAAAGAAAGTTGAATGAGCTATACCTGAAGATGGTTTCAGAGTTAGATAGGATGGACAAGAAAATTAGGCATGTTGGTAGGTCAGCTAGGGTCATAGTTGGTGCCTGTGTAGGTCTGATCATGATTTGTATTTTTGTTGCAAGTGTGGTAACAATCAAAGCAAGTGTACCCAATGTATTTTTTCTTGACTGAAATGTAATGAGTACTCAGTACTTTTTTATTATATGCTTATTTTGTATTGGTTCGAATCTGTTTTTGATGTGCTTTATTTCTCTGGTAAAGCTTAAACTATATGTAAATGCCATGAACAAGCTCATGGATTATTCCTTGCCATCTGTTTGCATCATATGTTTTAGTCCTTTTCTGTATTCAATGTCATCTCAAGCTAATGGATTATAAGCATTAAGCTATTTTTCTGCATACTTAGGCTGGAATCAATGTATCAGCTGGAAGCAAACCACAAATATATATGTTAAATCAACAAATCATTGTGTCAGAATTCGGAAGTTAGAATGCAATCATATTTGTTAATTCGGAGAGTTTATTCCCGTTTTGGTCCCTGACAAATTCCACAAAGCCCTTTTTGGTCCCTAGCACTAAACAAGGGACATGAAATTAGAAGTTGAAATACAATCATATTTGTTAAACTAGAAGTTAGAATGCAATCACAAGTTGGATTTCTAAATCATGAAATCATTGTATCATAAACCACCAACCACATATATATGTTAAATGCAATCAGAAGTTGGAAGTTAACCATTCATCAGAATTATGAAACATCATATTTGAAACATCATATTTGAATCAGTATATTTGAATATTGGATGTACAGGAGTGCATTACAAAATAAAGCCAACTGACTGTTGAATAAAAAAAGGCCTCTAATACAAAATGGCCTTTGAATCACTATTGAGTACAATAAAAAAGGGTACAACCATGTGTTTCCAAAAAAACATTCACATAATAAGGCCTCGAAATACATAATGGCAAGGAATTACAAAAAAAAGTATTTCACATAATAAGGAACCCTTCATCAGTTGGCTATGCACTACTCCCAGGTCATAGACATCAGTTGCTCATTTTCTTGAGGCAGACATTGGTGGCCTAAAACTAGGTGTACTCATGAAGGCCAATAATCTGCTTCGTGTGCCACCGGTGGCTGCATTTAGAGTTTCATTACTCAAAATTCCAGTTGCCTGTGCTAGATTTGATGGAGGTGGGCTGCTACCTCTCAAGTTTCCCTCATGTGGCTGAGAACTACCAACTAGTGCAGGGCTTCCTTGACTTAATGAGATTTCTTCTACTGAGCTTGATCCTATCATAACATTGATTGGAATTTCTTGTCTTGCTAGTCTCTTCCCTTTTCTTGGTAGTTGGTGGTCCCTTACATGTCTTTGCATAGTGTAAGAACCTGCACCGTTAATTAAGGAAATTAATCAGTTAATTATGAGTTTAATGAGATAATTCCATAATTGACCCTAATAATTATTATGAGGCTCTAATAATTATAGTAAGTGAGTAATAATGGTGAAAGTTGCTTTTCAAACGAAAATTGCAGATACCGGTTATGCTAGTCGGTATAAGTGAGTATCGGCAAAGTATCCCGGAAAATTATAATAAGTGTATGAATATTCCTAGAATAATATATAGGACTTGTAAAACGAGTTTCAAGTTAAAATCATGAGAACTGGTGCAAGAACTGATACTGGCTATGGAAAAGCGCGTACCGGAAAGGTGCCCCAAAAAATATAAGACAAATATGATAATTCTTGTAAAATTGAGTAGGTTAAGAATCCTGAGTTTTGGATTAAAATGCTAAGCGTAGAAATTAAAGTTAATAATGTGTATTTATTGCTTAAATGACTATATATAGAGGGTTGCACACAACACTAGGCTGATCCTCCAGCCTTGTATGCGTTAGTTGGCTGCTGCCACCTTCCCCTCTCTTGGTCATTTTCGTTTTTACTTAGAAACCTCCAAAGACA